ACCTGCACAAAAGAGAAGGGGAAGGCCTCAAAAACCCTTAAAAGATGAGATTGATGAAGAAGAAACTGAGAAAATAGAGGCAGATGACAGTGAGAATGGAAAGGCTGGTATTGCAAGCAAGGAGATCAAAAGCCCCTCTGTGGCAGAGAATGGTAAGAAGAGGAAGCGGTACTCACAGGTGAAGGAGAAGTCAGATTCGGTTAAGGAGGAAAATGGTATTGGGACACGATCAAGCACCGATGACTCAACTAAGTCTAATGGATTTCGGCATAATGGGAGCAGACGGAAAAACAAGCCCCGTCGAGCTGCTGAAGCCGGTGTTGAATGCAAGTGAGAGTATGGTAACCTGTTGCACTGGTTTCTTCCTCTCCACAACGCCAGAAACATCTCGGGACAGGAAGTGAGACCTAGTAAATCTCTAGTTTTTTCTTCTTTTTCTGGTTAATTGTTCGTTCTTCGGTAATTTCGTATCATAATTCCTTTTTTGATTTGAATTGTGAAATTTGGAATGCATTCTGATGGATGTAGTTTTCCATGGTGCTATGATATTTTAAATTTTGACTATTTATTTCTTTGCACTGTATAATTTGCAGAACGTATTTAAGGCTTTAACCAGTTGCTATCTTCACAGTATTATCTGTATTTTTTTGCAATTAATGAGATAACATTTAGATTTATATTAGGTAATTTAACTAAAAGGTTTGTATTATGCTCTGTACGAGTAACAGTTCTGAGTAGATTACCTTTTCACTTCCCCCTAATTATAAAATTCTTGCTTCTGTTTTAGAACTTTTTTCAAGGTATTACTCAAAGAGAGTTCATCTTCTCCTTATTTATTTTGGTTTTAAATTATTATTTTCTGGTGTCATATATAACTTGTTCTTGGATTGTCAGACTACCATTTAACCTTGTGACATGTTACAAGTTGGGCTTGCATCAATCACTTTTTGTCTGTCTCCAGACTTCACACCTCGAACTTGTGCATGCATGCGTACATGCGTACATGCATGTGATCTTGTGTGCATGGTTAGACACACATTTTCTAGATTTAGACTGGATCTATGCCTTCTTTGCTAGTCTGTAAAAGATTTGAAGCTTACTTCTGCAAAGAAATTCATTTACTTCTGGTGTCTTATATAACTTGGATTTCAGAGTAATATTTAAACTTGTGGCATGTTACAATCCTTTATACTTAGCTAAGCTTTTGTTTCCTTCACTGGTCGATAGTTGGTCTTTGCATCAATGACTTTTTGTCTGTCTCCAGACTTCACACCTCAAACATGTATCCGCATGCATGCATGCACTACATTTTGTGTGGGTACTTAAGCACACTTTTTCTAGGTTTATACTGGATCTTTGACTTCTTAGTTAGTCTATGAAAGATTTATGCTTAGTTATGTAAACAAACTTGTTTATTTTCATTTAAAGTAAACTTCATTTACTTCCTAAAAGGCTCATTAGAAGCATTGAATGGAAGATAAATAATTAAGAATTCAAACACTTTCTAAATATACAATATATAAATATGTTTGTTCAGTTAGTGAACTTTGCTTTCTTTATTTGTGTAGATAGTTGGAGATTTTAGTGCCATATATTACCTTGTTCTGTGAGTCTCTTATTTAAGTCAGAAAGCAATTTTTACAGGAAAATATTTATGAGAGGCCCCTTTATCAAATCAAAATTGAGAAAAAATGAAGCTTTAATAGGTTGAATGGTTTTTTACTGGAAAGTTTATTCGCTTTTAAAAATCTCAAAAGAAGCATATTATGGAAAAGAAAGAATTAAAGATAAACAAAACTAAGTTTAAGACACTTGATTCACAAGATTTTTTAGATTGGAAGACTAGCTATGAGTTTCCACCGGCTAGTTAGGGCCAGATCTTTTGCTATAGATTTGGAGGTATATTGTTCTTTGTGAGCGTTGAGGTGAGGTTATAGATAAGAGCGTGGTGATTAATACATGGCATATAATTTCTATATTGATATCTAAAATTATTGACAGAATTTTGTAACATTTACTCTTATCTTCTTTGAAACGGTTTTAACAAATTGAGAAGAACGTATTCTGTATGTTGATGGTGTTGAAAGCCGAAGACTTTTAGAACTATAAACAACTAAGAATGGATGGAAAAGGATTGAGTGAATAACCAACTGAAGTCAAGGTCGTTGTTTAGACTCTGTTTTAGCCTAGAGAATTCATGGTTGTGTTTGGACCTGTGCTTGGCCAGTCTGTTTAAGATTTTTGGCTGGGAACTCTTAATCAGTACTTGGAGTTGAACTTCAGATTTCTACTTTGCTTTAGAAGTAGTACTTTTCTGTGTCTATTATATGTTTGTTTGTTAGCAGGGGAATTTGATCTGTACTTGGTGTTTTAAGTTTTGTTAACAAAATGTAGAAACGTTAATAGTATATAAATTTTACAAATCAGTAACTAAGCCGATAACATTGCAATAATACCAAGTAGAACTTGATTCATGAGAATTGAGATGCTTGAGGGTGCCTAACCCATGCACTTGTGCAAATGATCTGGGGTGTATTGACTGATATGATTGTGGACTTTTGTACTCTAAAAGCTGATATGCTGAAGCACACAATTTATGCATGCTTCATTTAGACTGTCAAATAGTTTAAGGTGTGCAATGCATGTTATAAGAGCCTGATTTTTTTACTAGGAGACCAAAGGATTACTTTCGGAATCCTTGTTAAAGGTTTTGCACTGGCTTGAAAACGTCGAATAGAACCTCACATTGGTTTCAAGTAGTGTTGTATGGCTACGCAGCACTTGAGCAGGTAACTGTTTCACTCAAGGGTACACATACGATTTAACGAGTGAATTTTATATTTTGAACCGATGTACTGATTCTAGTGATAATCCTGATTCATTTTATTAGTTGTCATTGAATTGAAGCACTGTCAGTGTTAGTAAAGAATAATGTTATAACCCAGGAAAGGAGGAAAAGAAAAATAGGTTGTTTCTGCTGTGTAATTTTCCCTCAGCCTCCCCCATCTGAAGAGGCTGGGCTCTGAAGCTAGTCTGTGTACATGGCTATTTATGACTGCGAGCAATGTTGGATGTCTGATGACAATTGTTTACAGTTTGGACAGTTATATTTTTAGCCTATGTGAGAGATTTTGGAGTGAGATTTGAGCTTCCTATTCAAGCTGGGTGCATATCTCTGTTTGAACTATTTTCCATCTAATAAAATGCACCATGTCTCAAAGGCTTGTGCAGGAAAAAAATAAATTAATTAAAACCACTAGTTCGATTATTTAAGCCAATCCCTTATTTAATTATTTTTTTTTACCAATTGGAGGTCCATTTGGGTCATCACCTTCAAAACTGGAACCCTTGAAAAGTTAGTTTTACTGTTTATCAATTGCAGGCAGGTCCTTCATAGGTTGAGCTTTCCGCGCAACTATTTATTTGTGCAGAAAGGAAAATGGACAGCTTGCTATTAGAAAGAAAATAAAAATTGCCTACTCTGAAAAGGACAATAAAATTAAGGGAGTTTCACTAAAACACCCAAAATGGGAGTTGAAATTATAAAAAAACCCAAGCACTAGGAAAATGGGAGTTCATTTCTATGTTTAAATAGTGCTTGGGTTTTTTTATAAATACATGTCTAGGATTGGGTTTATTTATAAATTTGTATAAAATTAATGATCCTTTCACAGCTTCACGGGACAAGGTACTTTTGTTTTTTTTTTTGGTTGAAATAACAAAGCAAATGTTTTGACCTTGAGGATACAAAATTTATCACCAATGATGAAATGAGTCAGAATTCTATTGAGGGGGGATAAGGTTCTATCTCTTAAATGTTAGATGAAATTGATTAATTTGATTCAATGATTAAGAGATATGACCTATAAGGCCCGATAGAATGACTCATGAAATGTAAGAATTGTGTGTTGGGTCAGTGTGACTTGGACTTGTGAACCAACATGATCGAAGCCCATTGGGTTAAGAAAAATGGAGTAACGTAGACTTATCAAATATGGGTTTTAATTAAGTGGGTTTATAAATGCAAAATGGCTTCATTCAAACATAAACACAGCTTCTTTATTTTGGTCGTCTGATGACTTTTGGGGTGGGGGGTCACGGTGAGAGGACGTGTGGGTATGGGGAGATGATAGGCGGGGGATTGGGGCTCCTCGTGAGAGTGCATGTGGATGTGGGTATGGCTTTAGCTACTACTTTTTTCATTTTTAAATCTTAATTTCCTTTCATTGGACCTGACTCAATTAAAAGTCGCCCAAGTCACGGATACAAATATGATCAATCTGTCATGGAATTAGAGTATAACCTAATATCTTTTTCGGTTACAAGAGTATAACCTAATATCAATAGAGAAGAATGCCTGTAATTAGGTACGGACTCAGAATTTAAAATTTACTAGGGCTAACTTTTAAGTTAATTTTTCCTATCTGGTACGGAAATAATATGATAATTAAAATAATAAATTTTATTAATTTATGTTGATGCTTCAAAATGGACGGTCAAGATTGAGTCTAATTTAGAGATGAGGTGTGATGGATGATGGGTGAAGGTGAGGACCTTTAATCATGTGTGTGAAGATTTGGGTAAGCAATAAATATAACATAAGACAAAATATACGTGATTCACCATTAATGAATGGACTACGTCCAAGGAGAAGTATATTTTCATTTTTATAATAATGTGTATTTAAATTTGTACTAGAGGTTGGGCCCAAATATAAAGAGAATAAAGGAGAAGTCCATAACTAAAGATCAAGCCCAACTTAGGGATCCTAACATAAGTAGAGAGTGGTCTCCTTTTATAGGTGGGGGGGTATTCACTTCTTGTAATATTCTAATGTGGAACTCTTTGTCTTGCTCAGAGTTGCTTTTAGTTGCTTAGTGAGATATGTATAAACAATTTATATAAATTATTATTGAATTAACACATTAGTTCTATTAGTTAGATATATTATATGTACTGGTATGTACTAGTTAAATCCTGAAATCTCTCGATTCTCATTGTTTTCCCCCAACACAAAGATAAATCGAAGAAAATAGAAGTACTAAAGCTGAAGTTACAAGAGGGATAGATACGACATGGATTCCCACAAAACAATAAAAATAATAAAAATGAACGCATGAAAGAAAATGTGTGGGGCTTCCCTGATATGACCCATGCAATGTCCCTGTTTAGTGGGACCTATCTTGTTGTTATTGTTTAGTGGGACCTGTGTTAGTGTTTACTACTTCTTGTTCGCTGAACCCATCTTCTTCGCATCATCTTCTTGCAGCTGTCTCTGCAATTTAAAAAAATTCGAGACTAGGCTGGCTGGGATATATAGGTAGGGGTTTCTTTTTTCTTCTTCTTCTTCATCTCTCCATCTGTCTCCGTCTCTTCCTATTTCTTTCTTTTTTTCTTCTTCTTTTCTCCATCTCTCTCTCTCTCTGTTTTGTTTTCTTTTTCCTTCTTCTTCTCTCTGTCAGTCGTCATCTCTCCCTTCTGCCTCTGCTTTGGCCTAAACCTGCAATTGAACCAAACCAAACCATAAACTCCGATTAACTGGGTTGTTCGGTTTCACTGATTATATGGGTTCCAAAATAGCCAAACTGAGGCTTATGATTCGATGTCTGAATTGGACTTAAAATCAAACCAAT